TGCACACACGTAGTTCTTCTACCCATGGTTCCTTCCCATGGAGGGCACTGTAAGGTGGCCGTGTGTGGACTCAGCGTCTGTGGTCACCCTCTGGATGAGCTCTGAAAGGGCTAGCCTGTGGACATTGTCTCCACCACGGCAGGCTCTGGGCCTGGGATCCTCCCAGTCTAAAGCCTAGAAGATGCCTGGGTGGAAGTTAGGAACCCTGTGTTGCTATCTCATCTTCGCCATCTGGCTCTGTGACCTTCCATCTCTGCTGTCTGTTGAAATAACGCCCACAGGTGTGTGGGTACAGTCGCACACACACACACCCTGGCAGGTCTCTCCTTCTAGGTGATTTAAGGTTGTCATTTGTTTAGATGCACACACTGGGATCCACTCAGTGGCAAAGAAATGGTCTTTGGCACCAAAGAACCCCTCCCGAACCCAGAAGTCTCAGCCCCACGTGGCTGCAGGTGGAGCGCCTCCAGAGAGTGCCAACGCCTGAGAGAAAGCTTGTGTCTCTCAAGCCAATCCCGAATACCCCGTCCTGAACTTGGACCTTCACCTCCTTCCTTCCTTCGTGGACAGTTTACTGAGCTTCTACTACACCCAAGGCCACAGGCAGGCAGGGGTATAGCCGGAGTTCTGCCTCCGGAAGCTTGCGGGGAGGGTGTGAGCCACATCAGAGGAGTTTGGGGGGCAGAGGTGGGTAGCCAGATCACCCCTTCAAAGAGGTTTTAAAGCTCAGCTCTGCAGGATCTGGGAAGACCACCTAACTCCCCCAGGCTACAGTTTCCCCCTCTGTGAAACTCACACGAATATAAGGTTTACTCTTTTTTTGATTTAAATGGTTTTGAAAGATGAAATGGGATAATGAACATAAAAATATTTCTCACCAGACCTGGTGCCTAGTAAGTAAGTGGTCAATACAAGTCGATCATTAGTAAGTGGTAGACAGTTTAGGAGCAGGTCTTTGCCCAGCCCTGCCTCAGGGCCAACAGAGGCTGGGACAGGGCTGGAAGGACCCTGGAGACTGAGGTGCCCTGAGTCAGGCCCACCCTGTCGGGTATGGAGGGAAAGGCAGAGCCTGGGGGTCGAGCCTGGCAGCCCACATGCCCTGAAGCACATGTGGATGTTCACGTCCCCCCGCTGGACTCCCAGCCTGGGACCCCAGAGTTCCCTGGGGTCCTCTTGGGGGTGCTTCTTCCCTCGGGGTCACTCCTGGACCTCAGCTCGCCAGACTTGAGAGTAAGAGGCAGGCGCGCATGCGCACACACACACACACACACACACACACACAGAGGCAGCCGGCATCCTGTGGGGAGATGGGCCCTGCGCTTGGCAGGTGTGTGCGTCCTCGTCCACGGCATGAGGCAGATGCCGGCATGGTCGTGGTGGAGGGTAAGAACACATTTCCAGACGGCGCTGCCAGTCCTCGCCGTGTTCCGGCTTGTTGACACGGTGATGGCATAATTACAGTTTCAATCGTAGATTAATAATAAGTCATTTTTGCAAACGAGGAGGCAGGTCTGCACTGGAAAGAGCCCCATAGGGCCTGTCGCCTGTGCTATCTGAGGCTGCTGGCCGCTGTTTGATGTTTTCTGCCGAGTTGAGACTTTTCTAAGGACGATCATAATAACAACAAGGTAATAATATCCCTGCCTGCCCGTTGGCCTCTGGATGGAAGGCCAAGATAATGGAATTTGCTTTGGAGGAGGCATCTGCTTGTGTGTGGGTATGTGCATGTGTGTGTGTGTGTGTGTGTTTGTGTTGAGTCAAGATCTGGTGAATGCTCGTGGGCGGGTGCTGGTTTGTGTGTGTTGATGAGTCCGTGTCAGCATGTGTGTATGTATTTGGGAGTGCGTGTGTCCATGTGACCCCAGCAGTGCCCAGAGGGACCGGCCCACACACAGGCAGTCTGAGGCCTCTCTCCCCCTCCCTTGTCCACCTCCAGCAGGGCTGTGCTGGGGAACTGGGAGGGACAGAGGAGGTCTGGACTCCCAAGGTGCCCCCTAGAGAGAGCTCGGGTCTGGCAGGGCCCAGATCAGCCTGGCACCCGCTGGCGATCCCAGGTAGGGCTGGGAACCTGCCGGATGGCTGTGTTCCGAGAGGGGTTGGCGAGGAGCTAAGGATAACAACAGGACAATAACAACCACTTACGTGTGTTCCGAGCTTTCTTCTTTTCTATTCTTTTATCTTTGTGATCTCATTTGATCCTCACAATCACCCCGAAGGGAGGGAGGGCAAACCTCATGACTCCCACTGGCCCCAGTGGAAACGGGTCAAGAAGAAGGCAGGCCCGCCCGGGTGACACGGCTGCAGACGGTCCTGGGCCCTGGGTTGGAATCCTGGCCCTCTGCGTGGACCTCACACGGGCCTCTGCCCGGCCTTCCACACTCTCTGGGACAAGCCGGAGCCAAGGGGCAGGCCAGGCGTTCAGAAAAGCCCGGTTCACATTTCCCAAGTTCTCTTTGGAGCCCAAGGGATGCGGCGCCCCAGGGGGTCACTCTGTTGGCGGGGTCTTGCGCCAGCCTCAGGTTAGCCTCCGGGAGCCTGGCTCTGCACCTGCTTTGTTTCCGACCAGTCCGGCAGTCACATCTGAACTTGGCCCCTCAGAGGACAGCGACCTGGAGCTTGTTCCTCAGGGCCAGGCCAGGCCCAGGTGGTTTTAACAACCCTGTGGAAAGGCCCCGCCCAGGTGGCTGCCCCGCCGGCTGCCCTGGGCAGGACCGCAGTGCCCCAGAGGAGGTGAGAGGCCGAGACGGAGGCGCTCAAGCAGCCTTGGCTTCCGGCTGCCGGGCCCTGCCCAATCCCCAAGGGGCTCCTGCCTCTTCCTTGGGGCCCCCGAGTCTCCGTGTACCTCTGAAGGTCAGACCCGGTGTTTTTGCTCCACTAGCAAATATCTGACTGCCATGGGGTTCAAGGCAATTGGAGCTAATGTCCAATTATGCTCAAGTGGAGGGACGGCCTAGGGAGGCAGGCAGACTGTCCCATTGCTCAGCTGGGGAGATGGGCAGAACTTCACAAGGGCCAGCACCCAGCCTGGGCAGCCCGATTGGGCCTGTGTTCAGGGCCCTCCCCTGGGGCAGGGGCAGGAGTGCGGACCCAAGCCCTGCCTGAAGGGCCCACCCCAGGGCCCCTGCCTGGGGAGACCTGTGGGGCTGGGACGCAAGCAAGGCCCCTGTCTCCGGGGAGCAGACTTGGGGTTCCCTAGACCTCTGGTAGGAGGAGAAGGGGACGGCCCAGAGGACAAGATGGCTGGATGGCATCACCGACTCGATGGACATGAGTCTGAGTAAACTCTGGGAGTTGGCGATGGACAGCGAGGCCTGGCGTGCTGCAGTCCATGGGGTCACAAAGAATCGGACGTGACTGAGCAACTGAACTGAACTGAGACCTGATCAGAACCCTTCAAGGACTCCAGAATAAAAAGCGGCTATATCTCTACCCCGGTTCTCAGCACTCCTCACAGGCTGACCTCATCCGCCCCTCGGACTGCACCACACTTCCAGAAAGTCACCGTCTCAGGGCCTCCTCTTGATCAGCTCCCAACCCCACCAGCATCACCCTGTCCATGGTCAGTGGCGTTCTTCCTCCTCTTCTCCTTCCATGGGAAGCTTGGCCAGCTTTCAAACCACTGCTCCAATTCCTGCTTCCTGCTGATGTACCCAGCCCCTGTCTGGCTCGTCGGGACCTCAGTGAGCATTTCCCGAATGAACAGATGAGTGGGTGGCCAGAGAAGCGGGGCCTGGCCAGCGGGCCCTCGCCTTAGCCCATGGCTCTGTCCTCTGAACCCTTGGAGGGAAATGGAAAATATCTGGGCTTTTCTCTGAGAGGACTCGGGCCCCAGAAGCCAGGCGGGGCCGAGTCTCCTTTGCCCTGTGTCCCTGGAGGCCCCAGCACACCCCCAGGCACCCATGGAGCTCCAGACCCACGTTCTGGTGAACGGACCTGATACTGGGAGGAGGTGGTCAAGCCGATGGTGTTCTTTTTAAACTAATACATAGTCTCCAGGCTTCCCTTATGGTCCAGTGGCTAAGATGCCTCTCTCCCCTTGCAGGGGGCCTGGGTCTGATCCCTGGTCAGGGGACTATACCCCACATGCCTCAACCAAAGATCTCACATGCCACAACAATGATCAAAGATCCTGTGTGCTGCAACTAAGACCCAGGTTAGCCAAATACATAAATAAATAAAAATAAAATCTTTTTTTTCAAATAAATAAAACACGCAATCTCTCCCCTCTTTACCCCAAGCCCTACTCTCCAGTCACTCAGGGTATTAGATATGTTCCTCTGTGCTTGGCTTCTGTTTTTTGTTTTACATTTTGTTTTTCCCCTCTGTTCCCTGCTTGTAATAATAATAGATAAGAATTATTGAGTGATTCCTCTGGGCCAGGCGCTGTTGTAAGTGCACTGCATGTATTAACTCATTTGAGTCCTATATAAGACAGTAGTTATCAGTAGGGGGTCAGTTTTGCCCCCAGGGGACATTTATCGATGACTGGAGACCTTTTGGATTGTCGTGGCGGCGGTGTGGGGGGCGAGGGGGACAGCAGATGCTACTGGTATCCAGCGAGTAGTGGGGTACAGCACACACTGGACAGCCCCTCACAGCGCAGAGTCATCCTGTCCCCAAATACCGACAGGATCGAGGCTGAGAACCCTTGCTCTAGACCTTAGAGCCTGAGATGTCTATGATCATCATCTTATTGTCTCACTGAGAAAGCTGAGGCTTACAGAGTTTAAGTAACTTTTCCAAGGTCACCGAGCCAGCCAGAAGGTTGTTTTAACCCAGGCAGTCTGGGGGTTCACTCTGGGGCACCTCCTGTCAGCCCTGTAGCCAGGATTCCCTTCCTCGTGGAGAGCCCTGTGTCCTCCGCTGACATCACCTATCCATCAGAGGGAGAAAGAGACCTGTCAGGGCCCAGCTGAGGGACCCAGAGTGGTTAGCCACCGTCCACGCCCCCTGAGAACCCCGGGCGTCCTGTGTCAGGCCTGCTGTGGCCCACGCCGACCTCACTTCTCTGAACTGTGGGTCACAGCCCCGTGCGTGGGGCCTGGCCGGCTTACGTGCAGATCTGTGTGGAGGGCAGAAAGGCGCTGGGAGCAGGGCCCATGCCTCCTCCCGCTCTCCCACCCTCCAGGCCCAAGGCCCTCGCCCACACTTGGGCCTCCCCAGCCGTCTGCGGTCGACACGAGGGTGTCGGTGTGGAGGTTCCGGCCCAGAACTAAGACGGGGATGACTGCAGAAGAGCCGTGAGGCCAGGGCCGTTAGGCCACCTCCAGGCGCCACGGGGCCTGGCTGCAGAGGAAGCGGCCGTTGGAATGAGGAACCTGCCAGGGCCCTGCAGACGGCGGGGCAGGAGGAAGAGGCCCTGTGTGGAGGGAGGAGAGGAGGCAGGCCCCTGCTTGGCCAGGCCGCCAGGCCTCCCCCACTTGTGAGACAGCTGGCCAGGGTGAGGGGCCCCGGCGCGAGCCACACGCGGGAAGGAGCCAGCTGGTGTGGTGAGAAATCTCCCCGCTGGCCGGCCCGTTGCTTCTGGGGCAGGGGAGACGGGGAGGAAGGAGGCACCCTTCCTTCTCCCCACCCCATCTGGAAGGGCAGAAGCTTCCACCACCCAAGCGTTCCCAAGAGATCCTGCCGCCCGTCCCCTGCCTGCTAGGGAGGCATGGGGAGGGAAGAAGGGGCAGGTGCCCGGAGGAGACACAGGCCGAAACCAAAGACAGATTCTTCAGGGGATGTGAGAACGAGGGGAAGCCGCAAGACGAATGATGAAAACCCACGGAGGAGGAAGCCCCGTCCGGGGGTGGGAGTGAGCTGCTTCCTGAGAAACCCCTGAGAGGCAGTGCGTACAGGCCTCCACTGTGCCCTCCCTCCGGCCGCTCCCAGGCCTCCCAAGGATGCCCATTTCCCGAGAGCAGCACCCTTGGCCTCCTTGGGGTCTTGCTTTGGCCTCACAGCTGCCCAGAAGGAGCTGGTGTGCTCCCACTGTCCACGGTCGCATCCTCCAGCTCCTTCCAGATACATCAACTCTTCCCAGAGTTCAATAGCTCCCCTCCTGCCTCTGCAGGAGCCGTCTGTTGACATACTTAGAGAAAAGGGAAGATACAGGAAAGCCATAATAAGGGTCCGTTATTATACTTTATTATCCCGTTCATCCTCATAATATGCTCATTGCTACATCCCCAGCATCTCTCACGGTGCTGAGCACAATAAGCATTTGTTTGAAAATCAATGAGCCGTCCAGAAGGGAAATGAAGAAAACAATTCCATTTATAAAAGCATCAAAAAGAATGAAATACTCAGAAGTAAATTTAACCAAAGAAGTACAACAACTTATACCCTGAAAATTACAAAACTGTAAAAGAAATGAAAGGTCTAGATAATTGGAAACATGTTTATGGATCAGGAGACACCACAATGTTAAGATGGCACTACTTGGCAAAGTGATCTACACAGATGCAGTGCGGTTCCAGCTGACATCTTTGTAGACACTGGAAAGCTGATTCTAAAATTCAGGTGGAATTGCAAGAGACCCAGAACAGCCAGGATAATCCTGCAAAAGAAGAACAAAATAGCAGGACTCACATTTCCTGATTTATAAACTTACTACAAGACAGTGTGGTACTGGCACAAGGATAAACATATATATCAATGGAACAGAATTGAGAATCCATAAATAAACTCAGACATCTATAGTCAACTGATTTTCAACAAGGCTGTCAAGACCATCAATGGGAGGAAAACAGTTTTTTCAACTGGATTTCCACATGGCAAAGAGTAAAGCTGGATCCTTACTTCATACCATATCTAAAAACTAACACAAAATAAGTCAAAGACCTAATATAAGAGTTAAAACTATGAAACTCTTAGGAGAAACATAGGAGTGAACCTTCATGACCTTGGCTCTGGCAAAGGATTCTTATGTATGATACCAGAGGTACGAGTAACAAAAGAAAAAATAATTATGTTGGACTTCAAGAGAATGAAAAACCTTTTGTGCCTCGAAGGACACCACCAAGAGAGTGAAAAGACAACTGACAGCATCAGAGAAAATATTTGCAAAACAGAGCTGATAAGAGACTTGCATCCAGAATATATAAATAACCCTTGCAACTCAACAAAAGGACAAACAATCTGATTTCAAAATAGCAAAGGAAATGAATGGACATTTCTCCAAGACACACAAATGGCTAATAAGCACATGAAAAGATATTTGACATCATTAGTCATCAGAGAAATGTAGACCAAAACCACAATGAGATACCACTTCATACCCACTAGGATCTCTAGACTCAAAAGGTCTGATAATAGCAACGATTGGCAAGAATGTGGAGAAATCAGAACCCTTGTACAGAACCCTTGGTGGGAATGTTAAATGGTGCAACCACTTTGTAAATTAGTCTGACAACTCTTCAAAATACAAAACATGGAGTTACTATATGTCCTGGTAATTCCACTACTATATGTATGCACAGGCATAACTTGTGTTGTTACAACTCTGCCTCACTGGGCTTCACAGATACTTCATTTTTTACAAGTCAAAGTTTTTTGGCAACCTTGCATCAGGCAAGTCTATCAGCACTGTTTTTCCAATCTTTGCTCATTTTGTGTCTTCCCTGTGTCACATTTTGGTAATTCCCAAGATATTTCGAACTTTTTCAACATTTTTGTATTTGTTATGGTGATCTGTGATCAATGATCAGATTACGACTCACTGAAGGCTCAGGTGATGGTTTAGCCTTTTTTTTTTTAGCAATAAAGTGTTTTTTAATTAAGGTATGCACTTTGTTTTTAGACATGATGCTATTAAACAATTAATAGACACATCATAACATAAAATATTTTTAGTAACAATTGTGATTTTTTTTTGCCCTGGGTCTTCATTGCTGTGAGTGGGCATTCTCTAGTTGCAACAAGCAGAGGCTTCTCACTGGGGTGGGTACTCTTGTTGCAGAGAACAGGCTCCAGGCACATGGGTTTCAGTAGCTGTGGCTCGTAGGCTGTAGAGGGTGGGCTCAGAAGTTGTGGTACCAGGGCTTAGTTGCTCTGCAGTTTGTACGATCTTCTTGGACAAAGGATTGAACCTCTGTCCCCTGCATTGGCAGGCGGATTCTTATCTACTGTGTCACCAGGGAAATCAAAGCATAAGTTTTGCATACCCTGGGAAACAAAAAAATTGTGTGATTTGTTTTATTTCAATATTCATTCGAATGATCTAGAACTGAGCCCTCAATATCTTCCAGATAAGCCTATACCCAAGAGTAATGAATATATATGGTCACGCAGAATCTACATGTATGTTTATAGCAGCATTATTCACAAGCAGGAAAAGGTGTGGTATATGAACTATATATATTTCAATGAAACTATTAAGAAAAAAACATTTTCAGAAAATTGAAACTAAATATAGACCATGGATTAGAAAACTGGTCAATATTAAAGATTTCAGACTTTGATTACTGAAAAAAAATTGATGGACAACTCTGTAAAGTAGGCACAATCATTATTCCCATTTCACAGATTCAGAAGGTGAGGCCTGAAGACATCAAGTTACTTGCCAAGGATCTCACAGCAGTTTAACAGCCACAGCCTTTACCTCCTCCTTGTTTCTCCCAGCACCCTGGTCTTTCCCTTTATAGCACTTGTCACAATTTCTAAATGTTATATTTTTTGTTTTACAAGACAGTAAACTCCTTGAAGGCAGAGACAGGTTTCTTTCGATCATCACTTCTCCATCTATTTAAACAAACACTTATGGAGCCTATTTACCTAAGCCATAAGAGTCAGTGAAAATATTTACTACGGGCCTTGGCTCGTTGTGGGTGTTCAATAGGTATTTGTAGTTTGAATGGAAGAATGGATGGATGAATGAATAGATCAATGGTTAGATGGGCAGGTAGATGGTTGGATGGGTAGATGGGTATGTGTGTGGGTAAATGGATGGATGATGAATAGATGAATAGATGGATGGATGGATGGATGGTTGGATGGGTAGTTGGGTGTGTGGATGGGCAAATGGATGGGTGGATGGATGGATGGCGTGATGGATGAATGCCTAGATGGGTGGACAGGTTGGTTCTGGACAAAGGAGCTGACTGGTCCTGCTCAGGACCACTGGTACCTGGCCTCATCCTCCTCACCTAGCAATCCTTCTCCTCCTACCCCCACCCTCTATCTTCAGACCCATCACATCCAGAGACCTATACCCACCATACAGCCTCTTCTCTCTTCCTCCATCAAGGTTATGCAAAATTTCCCCATTTCTCATGGCCTTGTCAGGCTCTCCTTCCTCCAGGAAGTCTTCCTAGCCTGACCCTTTCCTACACTGGAATGTACAATATTTGATGGGCTATTCATCCCTGATCATTCCCTGTAGATGTCCCTGTCCTGAGATGCAAACCTGGGACTCAAGAAGGGTAAACCTCTTGGCTTATTCCTCCTCTGCTGTCCCAGGGCCTGGTCAAGGGCAGGCCCTGGGTGAAGCCTCCACATTGGCCATACAGGTAGGAGTCAGCGTCTCCCTTGGCAGAGGAGGAGGATCCAGACAATGGAGGGAGAAGGACCCTCAGCAGCACCAGCTCCAGAGGGACAGCCAGCCCCAACTCTGGGGGCGAGGGGGCTGCCCAAAGCCTGACCCCTGGGCCAGGCTGGGGCTGGGCTTGCTGGGGGACATAAGCGGGCTGGCCACAGCAGGGACCAGGCGTGGGCGCCTCCCTCCCCGCCCAAGCCAGAGCCAACCAGCCCCCAGCAGGCTGGAGGCCTTGTTTGCCTTGGCCCTGGGCCAGGGCCGCCCCGCCAGTGAGTAATGCGTGAGGACCGCCTGGCTCCAGTTCAAGGGAAACGGGGCTGGAGACGGGGCCTCCTCAGCCTTCGCAAGGCTAGGTTCTGGGGGCGGCTTCCCAGAAAGTGCCTGCGGAGGCTGCCTCGGGGCCGCTGCCGAGGCTGCCACTCACCCCTTCCTCCTCCCTCTCCGCCTCCATAAAGACCCAGGAGAGGCCAGGCTTGAGTTCCCAGGAAAAATCCTTGAGCGTCACCACAGACCCCCCTGCCACACACCCACACCCCTAACAGCCAGCCTGTCCCTAGTGCTGTCAACTCACACTTCTTGAGTGCCTACTATGTGTATGGCTGGGGTTTGCCATCAGGGAGCTCACAGGATTTCAGGGGGTGAGGCAGGGGTGGGGTTGGGGTGAGGAGGCCCCAGAGGCTCCCGGTGCTCATTCTGGAGGCACGAGTCCT